TTACTCTATTAAAATGAAGATTTAAAATCTTAGAAAATGGAACTGTTATGATTTTCTAACCCTCTTTCGGCTCTCCTGGGTTTCAAAGGTTGGGTTCTGAAATGAAATTTTACAATGTCTTACAAATTATTTGATTTCCACTTATGGGCTTTTTTCTTTTATTTGTTTTCTCTGCAATTTATTCGTTTTGGGTCATTTTCAATTTAGAGGTGGCAGATTTATTATTGCTGGTTTTAGATTGTGGGGGTGGGGGAAGGAGATGAAGATCCATTTTTTTATTTTTTATTTTTTATTTTTTGGTTTTTGATTTAATTTTTTTAATTGTTTAATGTGCTAAAAAGAAAGTTACCATTTTGCCCTTCTAAAATTGATTAAAAGGTGGTCAAAGTTTATTTTGATGGTCAACAGATGGAAACCATCCAAAAGGGTCTCACATGCAATGTTTGGAAATGTTAGGAGTGACAGGTGTAACAAATGAAAAGTTTGGAGTTTTTACTGCAATTATTCCATTATTTTATGAAAAAGTATATGATTGAAAATGACATTTGAAAAAATACATCCCTGGAAAAATGGAACTCAAATGGGAGCTTAATGTATAAATAATTTTATAAATTCAATTAAAATGAAATGTTAATTTTAACAATATATTTATAATTATCATTATTCTTGTATTTCGTGAACTCAAAATCATTTATAAATTTTGTTGGACCCAAAATGATTGTAATGAATGACGCGATATGAGGTAATGAAGATAAAAACAAAAATCAAGATTTAAATGTAAAGAAATTAACAAATAGAGTAAATCGCAGAAGCACGATATTTTATTAATCGACAATATGGAGAGAAATACAATAACTCGAAAATTTTTACTTAAACAAAATTGAAAGAGAAGCATAGCATAAAGATGGAAATAATGTAGAATAAAGAAATTATATATTTTCATAAAAATCATGTGAAATATAAGGAAACAAATTTCCCGTATGAAAATAAAGAAACAATTTTTTTCCAAAAAAAATCCACCCTAATTTGGGTTACAAACCTAACAATTTTCCAAAAAAAACTATACCACATGCTGGATCAGAGACCCTTTGTTAGAACTATTACCTTCAACGTCCCCAAAAGCATCCCAAACATTATTGATATTATGGTACCTACGCTCTATGAGTTCAACCCTAACAAATGAACACAGTGTATCAGCTGAAATTGGTGGCAAAGCGAAATCACCAACGCTCTCCCAAGCAGTGTTCCTAACCAACTCAGAGCTCGCCACAAGAAGTACTGTACCAAATTGTACATCCACTACGGTACTAAACTTATCCAAATGTCTCTTAATTGACTCTACGCTCCCCTGCAAGATGTACAATTGAGATATTCTCCGTCCCTCTAGTACAACCCGAACACCCTTTTGCATTCAGAATACTAAGCAAGATAAGATTCCTTTTCAAGTTTGGAACATGTCGAACTTGATCAATTTTTCTGACTGTCCCATCCCGCAATCTAAATTTGACTCGATCGATCCAAGCAATACAACAAGACCGATTGTTTTCCATTACAAATCTACCTTGCTGAACAGTCTTATATGTCTGAAAGAAATTTCGATTGGAACACATATGACGTGAACATGCCGAATGAGAATCCACTTCTCGTTAGACCTAGATTCCACATCAAATACCATAGTCAATATCACATCTCCACCGTCTGAAAAATCTCAACTACATTTGTTTCGTCTGAAATCAGAGGTTACGCTCCACGATTTGCAGCTAAATCACCTTTAGCCTGCAACTCATCGCAATCCTTCAGAATATTTCCCTTACGTCTGCAGTAGAAGCAAAATAAATTGCTGTTATTCTTCGATCTATCCCTTCGTCGACCACCATGAGAACAAGAACTTTCTCATCCCTCGATGTAGTTCCAACTAAATGCTTAACTTCTCATTTGAGTACAAAGTATCATTGACGTCGTCTATAGTCAAAGTATCATGACTATATAAAATGGTATCTCGAAACGATGCATAAGCCTACAACAAATATAACATGATTAACACAAGATCCTCTTCATCATACTTAACATCCAATGTTTCCAAATCTGCTACAATTTCTTTGAACGCGACAATAGGGTCCTCCAGTGACCCTTATTCGGTCATGCGATGAGAATACAACTTCTACTTTAGAGCCAGTTTACAGGTAAAACTCTTGGTCATATATAATTGCTCCAATTTCAACCACAAAGCAGCTATTGTTTTCTCCTTCAAGAATTTGCAGAATATTGTTGGATAGATGAAGATGAATTAATGACAAAGCTTTTCGATTCTTCTGTTGTTTCTCCTTCATTGTCTAATTAGCTGGCATTTTCTCAGAACCTAGCAACACATCGTCAAAATCCAACCGCGTCAAAATAGTTTTCATCTTTACTTGTTACAAATAAAATCTCGTATTGCCATCCAATTGCAGAATATCATATTTCAAAGCAGCCATCTCTAAAAAATCTAAAACAATCCACAACAAAAACCAAGCTCTGATATTACTTATTGGACCCAAAATGATCGTAGTGAATGAGATTAATGACGCGATATGAAATAATAAAGATTACAACAAGAAACAAGATTTAAATGTAAAGAAATTATCAAATAGAGTAAATAGCAGAAACACGATATTTTATTAATCGACAACATGGAGTGAAATACAAGAATTCGACGATTATTGTTTAAACAAGATTGAAAGAAAATATCACTATTTATAGATACATAGCATAACATAAAGATGAAACTAATATATTTTCATAAAAATCACGTGAAATATAAAAAAATAAAAACTTTCCACATAAAAATAAAGAAATAATTTATTTTGTATCTTAATTTAGATGACAAACTCAACAAATTTAGCATACGGAGGCTACGTATATTAATGGAGGCTTGACCACACTGGGCATTTACTTGAGCGGGCAGAACTTTGTTTCCTCACCGGGCGTAGCACGTAACAACAAATAAACTGACACGTGGATGACGATGGCAGCGAGTTTGAACAATTTTAAACCAAGAGGGTACGGTTCTTTTTTTTTTAGTGGTCTGTAGCACTAGTATAAATTGACACGCTTCTCAAGGGGAAAAAATTATGAAACAGAAGCGTCAGTGGATAAAGACACTGTTACCACCTAACAGTCTCTTACACGTGGCTCATCGCGTGATTTCACTGCCACGTGGAAAAGACCGTACCACCACGCAATACATACATCATATGATTTGTAGAGCCATCATGTATGTACATAAAATACATATCTCTCCAATATTTGGAATTTGGTTACATATATAGCCATTGTACAATCATTATTTTTAAACTATATTTTTTACATATTCATTTTTAATCACACGTTTATAGGATAAAAATTATGCACATAAATTTAATTTTTTTTCCACTTTTTAATTACATATTATCCTAAAAATTACTTTTCAAAACTCTATTTTCTCCAAATAATAGTTGTCAAACAGTGGCATACTCGAGCACTCATAAGTGATGACTTTGAGCATGCATTGGAAATATTGATAAATGATTTAAATTATACATAGATAAAAATGCGTGATTGATAAGTGAATAATACTTTTAAATTTTTTAAAATATATAAATAGAATATAATTTGAATACTTATATAAATTTTGCAAATGTGACTCAAACATAGGCTTGCATGTCAGTTCTTATGCTATTGGAATCCAAAAAAAGGGATTTTTAGTTTGATTACATGAATGTAGTTTACTTATATCTGTTAGTGAATTGTTGTGCCGCTGGTAATATAAGCTCCTATTTGATAAAAATTAAAAAGAGCTCTTTTTGAGAAAATGAGTTTCAGAATAGTTTTTTTTTTCGAAAAATATACGTTTAAAAAATAGAAAAAATTTAGTTTACGTGCAAATATTTTATTGTGGGAACATGTTTGAAAATGAGTTAAAAAAATAATTTTCAAACAGGGGCTAAATATATTGAGAGTTGGTTTGGGAAAAACTTTTCAATAAAAATATTTAGTTAAAAAGTAAAAAGATTCAAATTCTTATCAAATATGTGATTGAAAATAATTTTGGAGAAAATCTTTCAAACAAGCTCTTAAACACCGCTAGTGAAATTCATTGTGGCAACGTAGAACGCACTGAAATTTCACTGACCAACATATATAGGTATGTATGCTCTTGTTTGGTCTAACTAAAAGTTTCGATAAAAAATTAATTTAAAATTAATTACATATCTTATGAGATTCAAGATTATTTCATCACACGTTTAATCATTTTTTATTAAAATTTACTAAAAAATTATTCTTTATTGAGACTATTAAATATTTTCCTCATTATTAACCATGTCAATGCTACCACCATTCATGCCATCATCAATGATACGCAATGATGTAATCATGATTTCCTCCATTATAATTATTGCTCGCAGAAATCTATGCAAAAAGCCAAAAGCAATTAAATAAATGAAAAATGGGCTACCGTACTGAGCAACGCCATCCCCACTCTATTTTCGTCAATCTTTTGGGGTGTTGCGAATAATAAAACAACAAACTTAATGCTAAGATAGCCTAAACGGACTATCCGAAGAACCCAATTTTCTTCTCTAAAAAATAAATTGGATATTTTCGTTGTTTCGCTTTAAGCATTTCGTTCGATCTCAACAAATTCACGATATTCAGAGGTAATGAGATTGTTGCGTTATTTATTATTGTCTGAATTTGCAAACACGGGCAAAAAAGTAATGCCATAACGATGAATTACAATTTTTTAGAGGAATAAGCATTTCTGGTAATTTGGACAACGAATTAAATACATTAACATACATTTCAAGCCATGCATTTATTTTGGTTTTATAAAAATAGATATAGACGAAGTGTCTAAATTGACATGAAAATGAAAGTTTAAGGATTATTTTACTGAAGGAAAAAAAAAATGTGAAACATTTCTCTCTCTAGGTGGCCTAAACGGACAATCCGAAGAACCCACTATCCTCTTTCTCTCTCTACAACAATCTCATAATTACTGCCAGTCAGTGTAATACAATTCCTCTTTCTATCTCTACATATCTTCTTTTTCTGGTTCTCAGTAAAATATTGTTAAATAAAGAGAAAAGTTCTGCTCTGTTTTTGCCTCCCGCACCCTTTTCTTGATTTTCTCAGCTCGCGATCCTTTAATGGACACTGCTTAGAGTTTAGACTCATTCATCAGGTAAATTTCTAGTTTTTATTCATTTGAAAATACATAAAAATTCCCCTTTTGATTGGTAAGTGTATTTTCTTCCATTTTCAGTGACCCAAATAGAAGTAAAAGAAGAAGGATTTTTTCCCCTGGGGAGTTTGATTTCGACTTGCGACAGCATTTGATCATGGCTGTTATGGAAAATGCCGGCGCTAACGTGGCGAATCGGGCCGACCCGGATGCCCACCAAGAAGACGCCGCTGTGGATCATCAACAACAGCAGTCAACAAAGGCTTCCGTTAATCAGAAGTCAAAGAAACCGGTCGACCAAAATCTCCATCTGATGGTTCAGAAAATATCTTCTCCACAATCCAACGATCAGCCGTACAGTATCAATGGAAATGGAGTGTCAAAGGCTAATATTACTGGCAGTAATAACCAGAGTCATCAGAAAATGAATGGTGAAGATGATGGGGGTGAGGGGTTTAAAAGAGAGATGAGGGATTTGGAGGAAATGCTGTCAAAATTGAACCCGATGGCCCAGGAATTTGTGCCGCCGTCACTTGGGTCGGCGTACCATAGACTGGTGTTACCGCCCCCACAAGCCGCAGGGCACTATGGGTATAATGCTAATATGTTTTTACTTCAGCAGCATGTCAACTCTGGAGTTCCAAATGGAAATTCTACTAGGAGGGTTGGTTTTCTATCTGATATCCTTCTTGTTTTATTCTGTTGTTGTTTTGGTGCCTTAGTAATGTCTGATTGGTTTACAAGGACAATGAAAGGAATTAATGGATGAACGTGTGTAAAGCCTCATCAATTTTATTTCCACTCTTCATTGCGAATAACTAAACTTGGTGACAGTAAATTTTGTACCATCTTAGTTGGGCTCATATTGCGTTAATAAAGATGGGTGTTTGACTAAAGGAAGATATTTGATTTTACTGATGGTTTTTGGTGTTTAATGAATGTACAGAAGAACAATGGCTATGGTCATGGGAAGCGGAGGATAAATAGTCGAACAAGTATGGCACAGAGAGAAGAGGTTATTAGGAGGACTGTGTATGTATCTGACATTGATCATCAGGTAAAGAGACCTTAGAGTTGGTGAATTATGTTATTTTAGGTACTTTGGTTCAAAAATCATCTCTCTTGTTATGAATGTAGGTTACTGAAGAGCAACTTGCTGCGCTCTTCACTGGGTGCGGACAGGTACACATCTTTCCACATGCTGCGTAGATACTATATTTATGCTGACTTAAAATTATGTTCTAAACATTGTACCCACATTGTTGGTGTTGAAGGTTGTTGATTGTCGTGTCTGTGGTGACCCTAACTCTGTACTTCGATTTGCCTTCATTGAATTTACTGACGAGGGTATGTCATTTAAGGTGATGGTTTTGTTGTGTATTTTGTCAAACCTTTGGGTTAATTACATTGCATTGTTTCCCATTGCAGAAGGTGCAAGGAATGCTTTGAGCTTGGCAGGAACTATGCTTGGGTATTATCCAGTTAGAGTGCTGCCTTCAAAAACTGCGATTGCTCCTGTTAACCCTACGTTCTTGCCACGGGTGAATAATTCATTAGTCGTTATCGTCTTTATTTTCTTATATCATGTGTTATTAAATTTGAATTGTTTCAAAGACTAAGCTGATACTAATATTTTTTTTCTTTGCTGAGATATTAGTCTGAAGATGAAAGGGAGATGTGTGCAAGAACTATTTACTGTACAAACATTGACAAAAAGGTAGCTTTACAATTTGTCTATTTTTTGGTAACAATCATTTATTGGGCTACATGGTCATTGTGTAACACATATCTGTTTGATGCAGGTTACTCAAGCTGATGTCAAACTCTTTTTTGAATCCATTTGTGGAGAGGTTTGTAGTTGCTTGTGTAACAACTTAAAATGATATTTTCTATGAATCCTAACTCCATTTTAAGGAATATGTTATCTCCCACAGGTTCTGCGATTGAGGCTGCTTGGCGATTATAATCATTTAACCCGTATAGCTTTTGTGGAGTTTGTAAGGGTAAGTACCATAGAAGCCTCATTTTCTGATAATGTTCGTCGCAATGATTTCAACTCAAAATCGTTACTTCTGCGTGGCACAATTTTGAGTAAATTCTCCCTAGGTTTTTTTTGCCAATTAAATTTGATTCAGCTATCAGCCTTTGAATAATTGTTGAGATTTTAATTTTTGCTTTGATATTAGAAGTTATTGATAATTCATGTTGTCAATTTATGGCTCCATGGAATTGCATGTTCCAATTAGAAACTGTTTATGGATGCTCATCATTCTATTATATTTGCGAATAGGTTTCTGGAGCTGATCTGAATTTCTCAAGCTAATGTTATTTCGTTTCTGGCACTTTATAGATAGAAACAGTTTTCTTGGATTTATGTTAGATACTTATAATCTAATATGCTTATTTAGACCCCAAATCTAATACCGATTATATTTATACAGAAAACTCTTACTTAGGCCAATGATAAAAGACATATAATTACATTTATTTGTCCCGCTAGTCTTGATACTCATCAAAAGTCAACCACTCACATCTGCTTACAACTGTCTATTTTATGCACTGCCACCATAAATCCATCTTTCTGGTAGGTTCTTGCTTCTATTTGTGTTCTTCAGCTCCTCTCTGAACTCAATTTGTTCTTTTTCCCTCAAATCTTATTTTCTTTCTTATATTGCTCAACTGTATAATGTTTAATTGCAGCATCCTTTCTCATCGATAAAAGGCATTGGACATTCGTGTTTTCTACCAATTAGTTTCTAGGAAAGATGAACTTTTAGCTAGTTATACTTAACCTTTTTTGCTAGTCCATTGGCCGACAGTAGAAGGAAAAAAAATTCAATTGTATTTTCTCCCTGTTGTCACTGGATCCTTTTCTTAAATTAAACACACTTCACTTTAATAAATGTTTTGTGACATGCTGTAAAGTCAACCTTTCAGTTATCATTTACTTTCTTAAATACAGGACACTTGTCTTGTTTTTATGCAAATAAACGTTCATGTTATCCGTGTCCTAACATATCCCTGAATCATTACTCATCTTGATGATTGAAAAATCTACCTCTGGATGGTTCTGCTTGTGACTCACAGGAAGTGTCAGAATTGCTTCAGCTATGGGTGAGAGTCGTGAGATAATACACGTTCTAAAACCTTAAAGTTTGAATGTCTCCTCTGTATCATTGATGTAGGCTGTAGTATCTTTCCAAAGCTTCGACAAATTGGACTATTTATCTGATATTTTACTTTCATTTTTCTTTCTTGAGGGCATACAGTCCTCTTATCTTTGTATGTTACTCCTTTTCCATTAATAAATTCTTCCTTTTCAAAATCAAATTAAAGAAATGACTTATAAGCCTACACGTTTTCTGTAAGTGTGGATGTGTAATGAAGAGGTTCCAGTCAATGAACAGTGATGTACGGTTAATTCTTTTGAAATGCACATATATACAAACCAGTGTTTAAGTAGACAGTTACAGTGATTTTTCCTTGATGTATCACAAAGATAATTCTCTTTATTAAGATATTACCTATGACAAAATGTTTATAAATTAAGTAGATGGTGTGAGTAAATTAATCTGAACACTTTCAACACCTGGGAAAAGAGAAGATCGTGGGGGCAAATTTAGCTTTAAGATTAATGTGTATAATGAATTTGTCTATTGCTGATATGGTTACTTTGATTATAAGTTCCATCGTAGTTTTAACTTACGGTATCAAAGTGAAGCTAGGGGCTGGAGTCTTCAAGATAGAGTACGTTGTCCATTGAAGTACGATTACATCCTTACAAGTAATCAGAGTTTTAGACTGTTTTTCTTGATTTACATTACTCACTTAGAACTTCGATACTGAGATATATGCTCAATTATCTTGTCAAGGATGAGTGTCAAACATATTAGTTTAACTTTTACCCTAACCATGTACTACATTTGTTTCAATCATTAATTGCCTCCAATTTCCAAGATTTTCTTGCATAGAGTTCAAGAAGTGCAATAGAGAAAGTTTTTATCAATTCTAGTTGATATTTGGAATTTGGAAATAAATTAGAAACTTCTTTTGGCTAGAATAATTCATGATTTATATTCTTACCTCTGAGTGAAACACTATTTCCATAAATATAAACTAAGTGAATTGAGAGGAAAAGTGAGTGGAATAGAGTGAGGAAGCTGAAAAGGGATAGTGTGGACTTTGACTTCCTGATTTCTTGGCTTATGTTGGTTGGATTCACTGTTGTCTTAATTTTCTTAGTGAAATCTCGCATTTTGAACTGTGAACATGGATCAAGACTAGGTCGAGGTGCTGCTAATGGTTCGGCTAGGTTAACTTTCTGTAAATATTGTTTTTGTAAACATGGATCTAGAGAATGTATTTTACGTAAAAATGGAGACTTGAACCACTAAAGCAGAACCTCCTTACTTCCATTTGAGAATTTTATCATTTTCCTTTGGTAATTTACCCGTCACTTCTTATCCTCTCATCAAAGTAGTTGATGTAGTCTTCTACCTTTTGTATATGTTAATCCAGAGTTCCCTTCACCTTGCACAAATTAAGAATAATGTTTTAATATTTTTTATCACCCAACAGAAGACATCTTTTACTTAGTAAATTTATCATAAACCACTTGTTTGATTTGAAAAGTTGATAGTAATGCACTTAATTGTTTGTTTAAATACCTTTTTCAGTTCTTATTATTTTCATTTCTCTTACCTAATAATTCAGATCTTTCTGAACTTCTTCAAATCTGGTTTTAGTTCATTCAGAGTTGACTGATAGTAGTAATTTCTATTGTGGAATCAATTCCTGTTACATTTTTGGATGAACATTTCAATTCATTATCCAAGTTTCAGATATTATGATAAGTAAAACTTTGCCTTGTCATTAGTAACCTTAAGTTTTCATACCTGTGTCATTTACATCATAAAAGGATGATTCTCATTGGCCCTATTATTGAAAAGTTGGAAAAATACATTACCAAGAAAATCATTGCTATTTTCTTCAATTCTTTTGGATTTGATGGGAATTAATATTTTTGAAAATCATTATATACTACAAAAATTTCCATATATGTTTTGGATGTGTTTGGATTTATACTTCAACCATAATATTTTTCCTTTGGCAGGCTGAGAGTGCAATTGCAGCTCTGAACTGCAGTGGTGTAGTCCTAGGATCACTCCCTATAAGGTTCATTTCCTCTATACCCTTGCATTGATACGGATTACATCCAATCCCTAGAGCAATATGATCAAAATAGAAAGTAGAAGCTCATTACACTAAAATTGAGAAGTTTACGTGGGAGATCTTACACCTATCCCAGTCCATAAATCTCTGTCTAATCTTGCAGAGAAGATGCCCCCCTAGATTTCTTTCTTTTTATAGTGAGGAAACTAGGGTGTCATATTACAGAAAATGGATGCCCAATTATACTGCTTACTTTTCCTCTTGACCATGGATCGACCTAATATCTTTCATATTTGTACTTTTGCAGGGTAAGCCCATCAAAGACTCCAGTTCGACCTCGTGCACCTCGGCAATCCATGGAATGAACTGTTAACGAATTTTCTCTGAGCTGATCTGCTGATATATATAAACCTATATATCAATATATACATACATAGTTACTGATACTTTAGGTACTTTATGGCATTTATGTTTTTGGGATTTTTTATGTTGCATCTCGGCCGAGTCCATGTCACTTGCGGATGATATTTATGGCTGTTTGTTTAACTTGTAGAGTTGTCCTGTTTTTGAGGCTTAAGTTGACTTAATTTATGTTCCATAGGCAGTGCCTCAAAGTACTAATAGAATTATTTTGCAAATTTCTTTTAATCCCTACTGGTGGATGATCAATTATTTTCTGCTATTCATTTGTGCAGTTTCAAACATGATAAATGATGTGGGAAGTAGATAAAGAGAACAGTCTTCTTTATATGCAGAATTACTTTATTTTCATTTAGGATACTTTTGTGATTTGATCACGATGATATATTGTTGGAGAGGTGATCTCTACTCTTTTCACACTGCCCAAGTTTCTAGTGAAATCAATTTTCGTCGTCTTGTACCTGTGATGGTGGAGCTGTTATTCTCTATTGTTTAAAAGTATTCTGTCGCTAGATTTCTTGATTTTGAGATTTGTTGGGTCAAACTTGTGTCACTAACATTTTGGCTGAATTAAGAAGTTTCATTCAAATTTATGCTATTGGCTTTAAACAGATGATGAAATCTAATCTGCACCATTGAAATAGTTGTTTGAGATTTCTCTGTCTTTTCTTCTCTGATTTTTGTGTTTCTTGAATATTTTGGCAAGCTGATGGTAACTTTATAAATCGAGCGAGTAAAGGAGAGATTTTGTGCTAGTGCTGACAACATTTTCTATTGGTGGAAGTTCACAGGAACTTCAGATATTTATCTTTGAAGCTCGGGAAACAAATAATCTTCTCATTTTTATTTTCAAAATTTCATCACATTAAAGGAGGGATTTTGGCTCGAAGTTATGTTTTCTAGGACTTTTGAGATGATTATACTTTCATTACCAAGGCCAATGGCAAGCTCCGTTGACGAAAGGAGCAAATTTGGTTGGAATAATGTCTGAGGTTTCAATTAAACTGATATGTCAAAACGTACCTTATAGGTAGTGATGGCAATGGACCAATCGAATTCGGTTCGCCCATCTCGGGATCGGCTTGATTCAACAAGCAAACTAAGTGCCAATCAGCTTTCTTGTGTAATTTTGGGCTAGGCTTGCCCTACTGGTTGGGGAGCCATTCCCCTTATAATTTTATTTTGAAGGATCAACATCAATTTTTTCCCCTCAATTAAACAATTAGAAAAAATCAAATTCAAATTCAAATTCAATTAATTTGCATATCATAGCCACTTAAGGCGAGTCAGCGAGTGGCTTGAGAATTTGGAGCTTGGATTGCGGGTTCCGTCGTTCATTCCTACCTGTAGGGGCCCAAGCCTTGCTTTGAAATTTAGCCTCCATTTGGTCCTTATTTTTTCAAATTAAAATGAGTGAAATCGTATTTTTTTTTTTTAATAATGAGTGGTTGAAAAAGAAGGAAAATTTTTCAATTTACGTGTAATATTATTTTATAAAAAATTGTGTGATTAAAAATAAGAGAGAGAAATGAAAATTAATTTAATGGGATCCAAACGGAACTTGGGAAATGACTCAAATTTTTTAGATTTATGTCTGCTTAGCGGCAGTCGTCAAAACAACTTTTCCTCGAACTCTTTTCTCCTAACTTAACAAATATTAGGACGGACGGTTCATTAAAAAATTACAAAAGCAAGCAATATGAGAATTAAGATGGAGACACAAAATAATTCGTAAGAACACAAAATTTTACTGTTCATTTTCTAAACTTGATTGCCAATCTCTTTTTCCAAAGAATTACAAAGTAGAGAGGAGTAGTAGTTTTGTTGGAAAATGCAAGATTTTTGTCGCCTCCAAAGTCATACCTGAGTTTCCTTTTGTCCACCAACTGATAATGACATTCTTCTAAGTGGAAGACCCCAACAACAGCTAAGACAAACTAAACTAGTAGATTTATGGAATTCACAAAATATATGATTCTAATCCATATTTATGTCTGCTGAACCTCAGACACTGTTCTTTAAGAATTATGTATTTTGTTTTTCCTAGTTTTTTGGATATTGGATTATCACTTTAATAGCTGCCATTGAAATCGATAAAGAAATATGACTCGACTCAAGACTTAAACAAGCTAAGAAATACTTAAATATTGATCTCGATGATCTTTTATAAAATTCCATTAATTGATTATAAAGATACGAGACATCTAAGTTACACGAATAAAAAAGAACGAAAAATATTCTGCTCCTAACTCCTGTGGGCATCTCATCTCCACCCTTAAAAGCAAGAGCTCTGTGCAACCTTGACTAAAAACTAGTATCATTTTCCCCTTGCCCCCAGGGTACATCTCCAAGTGGTAAGAGGGGAGGGTGGAGAAATCCAGCTTTACTTGAGGCTGTTGCGTCAAGGGTTCGAATCCTGAAATATGGATTTGACTATTGGGTAAGTGCAAGTGTACAAGCAGCCTTCCACTCTTTATCCTTGGAGGCATAACCTGCTATTTACCTCCTTCACGATACTCTAGGGTAGAGGTGGTGGGGAACCTTAAGATTAGGGTTTAACCTTTTTAGTATCATTTTCCCCTTCTTTTTCTTGAAAGAACGTGAAATATAATATATTATAATGATGGACAGGTTAAAGTTTGTTTATAACTACTATGGCACTCACCAGAAACACAAAGTTATAATATCAAAAAAATAACATAAAAAACTGAAAATAGATTATTTATAAAGGCAGGACGGTACACAAGACATTAAAAATCAGATTTTTAAATTTTTTTGAACATGTTGATGAAATTTATGATTAAAAAATTGATAAAATCTATAAAATTCATAAAATAAAATAATTATTTGAAAGTTCAGGGAACGTTCTACAACCATTTGGAAATTCACGGGAATGCTTTACTATGTCAAATTCAAATTTTAGCATTACCAAGTTTACTTTCCAATTTATCGTTTGACTTTACGTGCGAAATTAATACAATTAATTGTAACAAGTCACAAATTATTGTTGTCTAGGTGATTAAACATACACGTCCAATTAAGCTTATATTGAATTGTCGGTTTGCGTAAAGTAAATAAAACAGTAACAACACCAACTCACAATATGATGACGGAAAAACCCTAGCGTGGGTAAAACTCCGGGACCAAGCCAGTAGTTTTCACTATATCAATCCAGCAAGTACAACTTATGCCAAACTCCGTACCAAGTCAGACTCGCTGTTCTAGTCTCACGATCTACTGCTATAGATACTGCTAGTCTCCTGCTAGCTTCTCGATCTACCTCCTGTAACTCAATCTGCTGTCCAATACAGCCTCCTGGTCTCTAGCTGATTGTATCACCAAGTGGAATTCCAAGAACCTCTTGTTCTTGTCTAGTTCCTGCGCTTATCGTCCACCTCTCTCAATCTCCAAATGAGAGAGTCCTTTCATCAACAGATGAAGAAGTCCAGGTGTTTTGTCTTTACAAATAGTGATGTTTTCCACAACAGTGGATTGCCCAGATCACAAAGTGTTTATGGATGAATTCCTTGTCCAGTTCTGCGTTGGATCACTTTAGAGAATATTGAAGATGATATCTATGTAAAGCACAATATGTCAATCTCTCTTTCATGTTCATGGCCTTTGTATTTATAGTTGGGGGCAATTAGGAGTCCTAGGCCGTGTCAAACTTTTCAAAAATCGAAAATACAATTTTCCATATAACACCGTCGTTCGAGCGAACAGCGAGCGACGCCACTTCGCTCGAGCAAATATCGAGCGGTGAGCGAGCGACGACCATTCTGCTTCCTCTCGCTCGAGCGGTGGCATGGCGAACGACTAGCGAACTTTCGACGCCGTGACATTGATTTGAACCAAATACTCAAACCCTAGTCCCTACCATCTAGTTTTGCTAAATTGCACCCTAAGTCCCTGACTTTTATAACATTGTATAATTGAGTCCCTGACTTTTAGAAATTTACAATTTAGTCATTTTGTCCACAGAATCGCCAATTACACCTTTAGACCTAACAAACTCCTCATTTGGTATTTTGTGACAAAACTCTACAAATGAAGACAGGACAATAAAAAATAAGTCAAGACTTGACAACAAAAAATTAAACTACCCAGTAAACCCAATCATTGAGTTTTGCATTCCTTCGTGTACCTATTTCTTAAAATCCACAAACTCATGTACCCAGTGTAAAAGCACGTGATACAGGAAATATAAAAATTAATTAAAGCTATTAATCACAAATCAACATAACAGTTTGAGACGTGATATTGATGTCAATCAAAATACCAACCAAGACACCAATATCACTAAACATCAAAACTCAAACAGATGGATGTGATATGGAATGCAATGCAATGTTCCCCCTTACTGCAAACTTTCATGTTTTTATGCAGTAGGTAAATATATCTATATCTCTCCCCAACGACCCCTAGACATAACAATGCAATGCAAGTGACAACAATGAATGACATCATGTGTATGCATATGCAGTCGCTCTCCTATGTGTATGCTCTATCATTATTTTTGTCTCCCTCTCAGTTACACATTTTTCCCTCTCTTTTTGTCACAAATACTGAAGGGACATACATTAAGGCCAAGTCGAGCAATAACACATAATAATAAAAAATGCAAAAGCAAAATCAACAAGTAGTATAACTCCCCACATACTTAGTTCAGTCCAGAATGAAATAATAATATAAGTGACTCATGTGTGTAAAGTGTCACTGCTCCAATACAAGCAGGACTCCAAACCTTAATTTTGTGAGAAGGGACATGTCAATCACTGCTAATAAGTATGCTCTCCTACTAATGAGAGTCAAACCATGTAACGCGTAGTAGAACCTATACTTATTGTTTTTACTTATCTCCCCTTTACTATGCGCTTATTTGTTTTTCAAATTTTCAAAGTATTTCAACTCATTATATTTTTCTCATTTCTCCAGCTCATTAATTTTTCATCTTAAGTGCATGTTCTTCTCCATTAGGCGACTAAGATGACTCCTTTAGCGAGCTTTAGGCTAGTTAACCAAAGTCAGTTGACCATAGGCACCAGATTTTAAGAGACCCCGCAGGCTTAATTGCTCGAGTCAAATAGGTCCCGAAGAAGAACATTAAGATATGAGCATTTAAAATTGAGGGAAATTTTTGGGTTAAGGTCTACAAAAATTGGTCAATTCATGTTCAAAGTCACCCCATCAACATGTGACAGTCATCCCAAATCTTACACACGCGGTAGCGTCCCACTAACAAATTTATAGTGTGTGCAGTGCAGATGATACATGAAGACACTTATACATATTAATCCAACTAGACTTAATCAAGCAATGAAAATTATTCTATAACTTATCAATTTTAGATCATACATGATACAACGTGCAAGCTTTAAGTCATGTGTCATGCTATAGAAATTTTCATAACCAACTATTTTTGTCTTTTTCAAATTTTCAATATTTTTGTGTTTTTCGTTTTTCCTAAAATGAATGCTCCACAAAATAAAATAAAGTCAAGCACACAAAGACAAAATAAACATGCATGCGCCAAAACTCGTAAGTGAAAATGAACATGCATAAAAAATAACAAAACAAAAATAAATAATATATATGTGATGCATGCAACAACTATATATCAATTAAGAGCCAAGCATACAGAAAAAATACCTAATCAAGTAGGTATATAATTGCTATTTCCTTTAAGAGCACCATGATCTGTAACCAAATTTGGGAGATCGCTTTTCTTCACCCAAACTTGTATAGAGCGAGGATTGTTTCCAGACAGCTGTGTCACCAATTGAGTCAAACGATTCATTTGATTAGTAAGGAATCCAATCTGACCAACAGACACCAGATTTTTGTTCTTTTTCAAGCTCAAGTCTTTCCTATTGTTCAGGTAGTGATGACACTTAGGGCGGATGTGACATAACTCTCCATAGTGAAAACATGTAGGGATAAACCTAGGACCTGTGATATGCTTGCGCTGATTTCTATTCCTAGGCCGATGGGTCATACGACGTCTGGTAGACCTACGTCCTGAAGTTCCTACAACATTTGGTATGGGGTTAGTCACAATGTTTGGCCGGTCAGTAGCATGAACAAAGGTGGTCTGTGATGTGCTAGCAACATTCAGATCAAAACCTAGACCTCCCTTATCACCAGCTGGCTTGCCTATTCATAGAATATCATCTAGTCTTTCAGAACTGCTAGAAAATGCAAGTGACCGAGACCTAGACAACTCGAGCTCACTCTCAAGGTGTTTAACCTGAATAGCTAAGGTCTCATTCGCAATGGTTAGCTCACTTACTCTCTTAGAGGACATCTTATTCTTATTGGTGAGATCACTAACATGGGCCTCTAACTTTTCCTTCTCTAGCTTAAACTCTTTCACTTTCTTGCTCATTGCCTGGTTAGTGGCTATGATCTTGATGCTTTCCTCATACATCCTATCATAGGCTGTTTCTAGATCTTCCACTCTCATCACTAGAATTTTCACTATTATCTAAGTCCTCTATCCTTTCACTCCCCTGATCGGATCCACTTTTACCCTTAGCAACGAAGGCCACATATTTTCCACTCTCCTCACGGATGGATTTCTCACTCTGATTTTCCGAGCTAAACTCGTCATCAGTGAGAGTATTATTCATAGCCTTCTCTTCAAATCTCTTAGCACTAGGGCACTTATTCCTCACATGACCGAAACTGCGACAGTTATGGCATCTCACGGATTTAGATTTCTTCCTAGATTCACTCGAAGTACCTCTTTGTCTCTCTTGAGGCTTTTTTCTTATTCATAAACATTTTTTGAAATTTTTTAGTTAGGTAGGCCATCTCCTCATCATTGGGTGAATCAGAATCAGAAGATTCCATCTGGATATTCCTAGCGATTTTTAAGGCTATGGATTTTTCCTTAACTGCATTGTCTAAGGTCAATTCATAGGTTTGGAGGGATCTAACTAACTCCTTTACCTTGATAGTGTCTATGTCCTTACTCTCCTCAATTGCCGTGACTTTAGGCCTAAAACACTCAAGTAAGGATCTAAGAATCTTTCTCACTAACTTAGGCCTAGGGATTTTCTCACCTAGGTTGAAGGACGAATTTACTATGTCATCTAAACTCGCATAAAAGACATCAAACATCTCATCATCTTTCATTCTTATCTCTTCAAACCTAGTGGTCAACATCTGCAGCTTAAAACTCTTAACTGCCTGAGTTCCCTCATGTGTGGTTTCTAAAATATCCCAAACTTCCTTTGCTACCTCACACATGGACACTCTCCTAAACTCCTCGGGGGACACTGCCATAAATAGGGCATGGAGGGCTTTACTATTTAAATTACAGCTATCCAATGGAGCTCTAGACCAGTTCACAATAGGGGTGAAAGTGATTATACCGTCTATTGTGATATTAGGGGTTGACCAACCATTTACCACAATTTGCCAAACACGCTCATCTAAGGATTTCAAAAACGCCCTCATTCTAACCTTCCAATACGCATAATTGTTCCCATCAAAGTGGGGTGGCATATTCAACGACATACTCATCTAGACTAATGTAAAGTCAAGATTCGTACTTAGGATTTGATACCACTTGAAAGTTCAGGGAACGTTCTACAATCACTTGAAAATTCATGGGAATGCTTTACTATGTCAAATTCAAATTTTAGCATTACCAAGTTTATGTTCCAATTTACCGTTTAACCTTATGTGCAGAATTAATACAATTAATTGTAACAAGTCATAAATTAATTGTTGTCTAGGTGATTAAACATACACGTCCAATTAAGTCTATGTTGAATTGTCGATTTGCATAAAGTAAAAAAAAAAAACAGTAACAACACTAACTTACAATAGGATGACAAAGAAACCCCAACGTGGGTAAAACTCCGGGACCAAGCCAGTGGTTTCCACTATACCAATTCAACCAGTACAAGTTTTGCCAAACTCCGTACCAAGTCAGACATGTTCCAGTCTCACGATCTACTGCCGTATATACTGCTAGTCTCCTGCTAGCTTCCCGATTTACCTCCTGCAGCCCAATCTGCTGTCCAATACAGCCTCCTGGTCTCTAGCTGATTGTATCACCAAGTGAAATTTCAAGATCATCCTGTTCTTGTCCAGTTCCTGCGCTTGTCGTCCACCTCTCTCAAGCTTCCAATGAGAGAGTCCTTTCCTCAATAGATAAAGAAGTCCAGATGTTTTGTCTTCACAAATAGTGATGTTTTCCCCAACAATGGATTGCCCGGATCACAAGGTGTTTATGGATGAATTTCAAGGTGTTTATGGATGAATTTCTTGTTCAGTTCTGCCTTGGATCACTTGAGAGAATATTGAAGATGATATCTATGTAAAGCACAATAGGACAATCTCTCTTTCACGTTCACGACCTTTGTATTTATAGTTGGGGGCAATTAGGAGTCCTAGGCCATGTCAAACTTTCCAGAAATCGAAAATACGATTTTCTATATAACACCGTTGCTCAAGCGAACATCGAGCGGCGAGCGAGCAATGACTATTCTGCTTCTTCTTGCTCGAGGGATGGCAGGGCGAACAGCTAGTGGCTTCCGGCCCCGTGACCTTGATTTGAACCAAACACTCAAACCCTAGTCCCTACCATCTAGCTTTGCTAAAATGCACCCTAAGTCCCCGACTTTTATAACATTGTATAATTGAGTCCACGACTTTTATAAATTTACAATTTAGTCATTTTGTTCACAAAATCGCCAATTACACCTTTAGACCTTACACTATTGACTTAAACTTAGATTTTTAGCACTCTTTAACTTACAACAAACGTGGCTACTTTCTTTCACTGCAGTTCAAATCATCATTGTCTTATCATATAAAAATATTGTGCCTTCTTCATCACATAAAATCAACTATCTTTACACAAATTTTCTTGGATATATTTGGTATTTCCTCCTTGCGTCCAACAAAACTCCTACTTGTTTGCACAACTCTCACCTCTCTTCCTAGTAAGTTTCAATTCTAAAGGGACTCGACCATTTTACAAGTGAAACCTTTGCTTAAGGCTTCAAATTTTGTGAACATCCACGAGTTAATTGTTCCAATGGTCACTGAACACAGGATCATGTCTCTAATTGGTCACTAAAATTTAAAATGTTGAGTTTTGATAACTGAATTTAGGTCCATGTCTTAGATTGCTCAATGAAGTTTAAATATCAAGTTTTGACTATTAAACTTTGAAAAATATTGTATATTACTCACTAAACTTTGAAAAAATGTTGTACATTACTCAATGTAAACTCGATATTTTTCAAAATTCAACAGTTATGCTACTGAGAAATGTACGACATATTTCAAAGTTCAGTGGCCAAAACTCGACATTTTAAATTTCAGTGAACAATCTAAAACATGGACCTAAGTTCAGTGAGCAATCGAAAATATTGCTCTAAGTTCAGTGGCTAAAACTCGATATTTTAAATTTCAGTGATCAATAAAAACTATGAATATAAGTTCAATGGCCATTGGAACTATTAACTCGAACATCCACAGTTCTTTATATAATTTTATTATTTTTGAGTTTCGGATCTCCAAATTTCTTGAGTGGCCTTTGGATTTTGCTATCGTTTTCCAAGCACAAGAATATATGGGAAATTCTGGCTCTCGTCGTGGGCTCGATATAAGTTCATGTATCAGATTAGGCGGAGGCAGAAACAAAAGAATATTATAGGTAGACAGAAGGGATAGCACCAGTACTCTTCTGTCGAATCCAGTTCCGGTTGGAACGCCGCTTGCAGCCGTTGCGCCACCGCCGGTCAGGGCTGAAACTGAACCTCCTACTGGAATCAAGAGGGTTAAAGTGGTCATTACAAAGCGGCAGCTTCAGGCGTTATTATCAAAGAGAATATATGTTGAAAAAGTCCGAGTAATAAAATCAATAAATAGATCATGTAATTCAGTTAATTCTCAGACAAGTTGGAAGCCTGTTCTTAAATCCATTCCTGAAGAAAATGAGTTGTGATAGGTGAAGTAGAATTGCAGTGACATTAAACTGATTCTGAATTTCGAATGCTTTTTTTTTTCTGCTAATTAAATTAGAATCAGTTTGGTGTCATTATATAACGATATAGATAATATGTTGGTTTGATTTTGTTTACTAATGTTAACTAATGTTGTTTACAAATACGGTGTGATGTGTTTTTCAATCACCAACTTAAACTTCCCTGCCATTGACGAAAATTAAAAGCACGTGCAAGCATTACTAGACGCAACAATTGACAAGATTAAATCTTTTTTCTTCTTTTATGATTGGGCACTCAACGAATTATAATTATATTGTTCACTCTCTTTGACCTCCAACCAACCTAATAGTAACTGTTGTTGCTTGGTTATACGAGGCAGTCGAATAACAATAACAATAAAAATAACAACAATAATAATATAGGGATTGCTCGAGATAGGTTCGCAGAAACACAAATATTGAGTGAAACTCAAAACCACAATCCCAAAGCAGAAACAATATTTGGTATTGAACTCGATGGATTTATTACCGAATTATGTATATTTGGACATAATGTCATACGATATTTTATCATTGAACTAATTTAAATACAGTTACATTTTTCATCAAATCATTTGTTGTGACCTTAAATTATGTCACTACATCTGTTAAATTTCTTCTGACAAAGTGGAAAAATCCATTATTACTACATCTAATGTGGACGCCACATGTGGGCCATATTAAACTCAAAAGCCACGGGTCATTTATTGGCCACGTCATCGGATAGCCAAACAAAATTTTGTGAACACTAAGGCGCCTCGGTGAAGTTAATAATGTGAGGCTTTGAACCTACCTCGTCAACGAGGAAAGGCTTGCCAAAGGTGATTCATACCCCTATCAAACCTCGAGTAGTTGAAACAAGGCGAATCTTATCCCGTCCTCTCTAGATGCAAGTTGAATGGCGAACCTATTTGCCTTGTGAGAACTCTCAATCTCATGCAAAAGTAAAAGAGAGAGAAGATGAAGATGCGATGTTGTCTAAAATAACTGAATAGCAAATTCTGTCACAGCACATGAGTTGAAACCACTAACAAAATATGAACACATAAGATAAATGGCCTGAAATGCTTAATATATATAATAAACACTCAAAGACACCATAAAAGAAAAAGTCGCAAACCTTCTTCATTTTTTTCTTTGTCCAACTACTACCTTGAAAATTAGTGCGCAAGTTGACCAAACCTTTTGAATGGTGGCCTTTCCAACCTAGCAATAATGTGTGCAAGTTCTACAACGGGTGGATAAGAAGTAACAAGGATATATATGACATCTTAATCCGATCATATATTGAGATTTGTATCCACCAATTTATGGGGGAATGTACCAACGTGAAGTCGAACCAGATATAGGTCCCAATAATTGTACAAGAAAAGAAATTTTTCTTCGTCATTGCACTTCAAAGGGAATTCTAACCCAACCTCGTCTCACTCCTAGCACTTTCCTTTGCCCTTTCTCGCTTGCATCATTTCGTTCAGGCTCCATGAAATTCTCTTGATTGCAGCTTTCTCCAGACCTCCGAGAAAAGCATGAAAAAAAAAAAAGGTAGGGCAAGGCCTAATTGAAAATGAAGCGAATTATTGATTGTGTCATAAAGACCCTTATGCCCTCGTCCCAATCGCCCCCCGGGAGGAAGAAATAATAAAAAATATTGTCTTCAGATATCTCAATTGGTCAAATTCGAAGCGTCTCTTGCGTTATTTAGATAATTTTCTTGTCATAACCATTGCCTTTTTTTTTTTTTTTTATTTTAAGTTTTACTTTTTTATTTGGACATAATGTCATACGATATTTTATCATTGAACTAATTTAAATACAGTTACATTTTTCATCAAATCATTTGTTGTGACCTTAAATTATGTCACTACATCTGTTAAATTTCTTCTGACAAAGTGGAAAAATCCATTATTACTACATCTAATGTGGACGCCACATGTGGGCCATATTAAACTCAAAAGCCACGGGTCATTTATTGGCCACGTCATCGGATAGCCAAACAAAATTTTGTGAACACTAAGGCGCCTCGGTGAAGTTAATAATTTGAGGCTTTGAACCTACCTCGTCAACGAGGAAAGGCTTGCCAAAGGTGATTCATACCCCTATCAAACCTCGAGTAGTTGAAACAAGGCGAATCTTATCCCGTCCTCTCTAGATGCAAGTTGAATGGCGAACCTATTTGCCTTGTGAGAACTCTCAATCTCATGCAAAAGTAAAAGAGAGAGAAGATGAAGATGCGATGTTGTCTAAAATAACTGAATAGCAAATTCTGTCACAGCACATGAGTTGAAACCACTAACAAAATATGAACACATAAGATAAATGGCCTGAAATGCTTAATATATATAATAAACACTCAAAGACACCATAAAAGAAAAAGTCGCAAACCTTCTTCATTTTTTTCTTTGTCCAACTACTACCTTGAAAATTAGTGCGCAAGTTGACCAAACCTTTTGAATGGTGGCCTTTCCAACCTAGCAATAATGTGTGCAAGTTCTACAACGGGTGGATAAGAAGTAAC